CTTGAAGAGATTGAAGTAATGAAGAGAATGAAGGCAAATTGAAGCATAGCTGATACAAAACTCTGTGGATATAAAGTAATTAATAAAATTATTAACGTTTATTAATTTAAAATAATTCCTCTCACTTGAAGTGAATCTTGGTGTAAGTAGATAGGGTGTTTAGGCAGGCACATCATCTTAATCTCATCACAGATCAGTCAGTAAGCAGCGAGGTAAGCAGTGATTGCAAAACAAAGGAGTCCCCATTGAGTAATACTGAGCATGCGCAGTTGGTTGCATCAAAATGGCGTCCAACAACTTGGTGAGTCCATGTGTGCTTCAGAATAACGACAAAAATCATTTTGTAGAAATACAATGCCAAGCCACACTGCACTAGCGTCCCTCAAGTGCAACAGAATGGTGCAAAAATCATATTTCTAAGATAAAAACTCTTGGACTAGTTCTTACTTAACTGTGGAAGAAGAAGGAGAAAGAAACCTGAACATTTGGTGCATGCAGGCATGCATGCATTCATTTGCCGTAAGACTATCTTATGGAAGTTTTTAACTACTTTTTATAAAACTGATGTGTTATCATAAAATTATAAAGGATATCTGGACAGTCGAATAAGCCACAAAGAATTCCTGAAGATTTACACAGGCTCAATGCTTCTGGGATGGCGGCCATTTTGGGGGTGCGCTCGTCCAACTCAACCCTACATACCAAGCGCTAACGCTTGGTAATAATTCACTCCAATTCTTAAAATAACTGACAATTAAATCTACCCATCAGTTTTTGTTAATGTTGATATATACCGTAGTTGATAGCAACTAGTCTATACCTGCTGTGTGTAACGGTACGGCTATTCATGTACTTGATGATAGCTGACATAAAAGAAAATTGTTTTTACAAAAATAGCACTACCAATAAAGTATTGATCATAAAATCAAAAATAACTAATTACTAAGCTCAACTACTTCAAATTAAAAAAGACATTACAATTGCAAATAATAATAATATCAAAAAGGCAATGAAAATCAGTGCACAGCTGTTAGAACAGAGGGGACTATCGGTATGAGATGACAGTAATTCTTCCACATCAGATTTTGCTTTTACAACTTCAAGATGAGTTGAAGGTGGGGCAGGAGGGTCATAAGAACTAGGAGATGACAGAAATTTTTCCACATCATATTTTACCTTTCCAAGTTTGTCCGGATAATCTTCACAAACTTGTAGTACCTTCCTTCAGGTCACTCCTTTATTGGAGTTTATCCATCTCTGGAACACTAGTATGAGGTTTTTAGTGGTTGACTGTGGATTAGGTAACAGATCATCCACTTCAACATCAAGTGCAGTACCAATGACCATATAATGAACAGCAGAACTTTCGAATAACCTAAGGAGGTCAGGCTCTTTAGAGGCTTCTTGTCTAACAGGGGTTCTGTATAAAAATAATAATAATAACATTAATTTAAAAGTTCCTCACTTTTATTTGATGAATGATTATTAACTTGTTTCATTTGTGTTCCATTGTTACTCTCAACAGGTCCTATACACAAGTGATAAACTATAAATAATAATTATTATTATTAAACACATACATTGTGCATTAGTAAACCAAGTCCAGTAGCTATTGCTAATAGCAGGAGATTCACCACAAACTGTACAATCAGCTACTCTATGATCTTCATTTACAATGCAATAGCAGCTCTCATTGTTAGGGCAAGCAAATGCATTGACGTAATTATGCTTGAGGTGCATGGCATCACTGCTATTATCAATAGCTGTTGTGAGTAGCTTACGTACTAATGGACAGTACTGGGTAGGACCAGTAAAGTACACTTCAATATGAGTGTAACGGTTGATGAGGTGAAGTGTGTGCCTTTGTGTGAAGGTCATCTTGAGGGACATGGCATCTCAAAATTTATGATACTCTGGTGTTGATGGAGAGATTTTAGTAACGTATTCTTTCTGGTTGAGTAGGTGTACGATGGTTAAAGGGAACAATCCTGTAGGAACTGGTAGGATCTCTTCACTCTTTTCTTCTCTCCAGACTATAAGAAGTGGCTTAGCATCAATCTCCTTAACTGAAACTGGTTCATTGTATGAAGGAAGAGCATAAGGAATGAAGTAGTGTCCCTTTTGTTCATCTTCTAGTTTTGTGATGATGTTAAGATGAAGGAGGAGTCTAATAAGATCAGGCAACTGGAACTCTGGCAGGGAAAATAAGACAGACTTTGAATTCAAATGCTCAAAAATATCTTCATTGAAGAATCCTTCCTTCAGATTATTCATAACTTTGAGAGGAAAAGGTTTTTCTGAAATTGAAGCTAAAGCATCATCATCATCAACGTATGTGAGAGCTAATAATTGTGAGAGATTCTCGAGGATAGGCTTAGAATCGATAAAGACGACATTTGTAACTTCTGGATAATACAACATGAGACTCACATCATGGAAATATCTCAAAGCTTGTTTAGTATCTTCCTCCTTCATCCCGTATCTTTCTCCAATAGATAAAGCTTCCTTAACTGATATAATACTCTGCTTATCGGGCAAAGACAACTCAAATGCAAACCATCGAATTGGTATTTTAATTTTTAGTGAAGCATCAGACCCACGACACCATATTGCCTTGCAAATCTTTTCACTGTATTTAGTTCTTTCTTCTGATTCAGCAATCGTGTTGACAGGAAATATGATAGATTTTTTGTGATGGATAACGCAATTTTGCAAGTAAGACTGCAATGAAGACATTGAAGACTTTAGAATCTCTTCCTTTTCTTGTAGAGTGGCATCGCTCACTTTGTCATAATGTGTTCCCAATACAAGATGCATGGAGTGTGTCGGTTTCTTGGAGATGCAGGAAATATCAAGAGGCTTAAAACTAGCTCCAGTGGAAACTGCAGACTGGAAGAATGCTAACTGACTTGACTTGGAGTGGCATGGGAAGTATTGTCCATCGATCCTGTACATCAGATCAAACTTCTCATTGAAAGGCTTAGATAAATCCAGTGTTATGATATTGAGAGAAGCTGCTCTAGTGAATAAAGGTAGTAACTCCTGGTATGCTGGCTGACCACCAGAATCAATAATGTACAGCCAATGATCACTTTTACGTATCCCTTTCAGTTGGGTGGCTAAAATTTCCTGGACAACTACTTCACTACAATACTCTGGAGCTACATGTACTTCTGTCCTTCTCTTCTTCTTTCGTGGAGACTGTGAAGTAGAAGATGGATCTGGTGGTATTTCTGTTGCTGGTTGAGTATTATCTGGCAATGAGAGGACTACGGGCAGTAGAGGCTCTTTTAGTTTCTCTTGCTGTGAAGCTGCATCCAAATCTGCTGCTAATTGGTCAAGTAAATTGGCTCGAGTCACTCTATTCCAAATTATTTTTTTGCAAACGGCAACTCTCATTGCCCTAACAGCAGGGCAGGCAATTGGTGTACTGGTGTCATTATTGGGTGGGGGTTCATTTAGTAGGAGGCGTAGTGAACAGGTTTTACCAGCTCCAGGAGCACCAAGCATATTAACACGAGTAGCAGTTAGATCAACACTCCCTTCCTCCATCCATTTCTCTACAGCATCTATATAATATAATGAAATAGTATAATTAATAAACATAGCAGGAACTGTGTTGTGTACACAAAGAGGGCTATTACATAATACATTATTAGATTAGTATGTGTTACATTAGTAAGTGTATTAATCCCAGCATACACTATGCAACATGCTGCTGTAAAAAAGGTTTTGTAATCAACTTGTTCCAAAAATAGGACAAATTTCTATTCTTAGATACAAGATCAAACTCAAAGTAGATCAAACCACAAAAGTTGCTAGCAAAAAGTTGCCTAGTGTATGTTGGGCTTAACCTGATTATGTGTATGTACTTATGATTACTATACTACATTGCAATATATTCCAGATTCCGCTATGACTTTTAAAATGTTTTATCAAACAATAGATTGTTAGAATTTTTATTAGCTACTTATTGGCTGAGAACCTGAAATATGTGTTTGGCACATTATATGTACATATATGTGTTATTAATATCTTGTAATCTACTTCTCTTCTGATATTCTTTTAGTCTTTCGGGCTGACTATATTCTTTAATGTCTAGTACTGACTGTACTACCAAATCTCCGGTACTATATCCTAATAATAATAATAATAATAACAATAATAATCTATTTCAATCCTATAATCTTTTATATTTTTATCTTAACTTTCAACCTAACCTGTCCTATTGTTCCTGTTCAAATAGCTGTTTTTATAATAGACAATCTTCTTTGAAGGCACTTGGGCTTTTTTAGAGGATTTTGGGTATTTTTATTTTTTGTTTTTTTGGTTTGCTTTTTGTCTAGATTAGGACTAGTTGGCCTCGCCTACGCGAGGTATAGGTAGTTGTTGTGTCTGTCTGTCTGTCATTCATTCTGTACAACTGAAATTTGTTTTTAATAAACAATAACTTTAGCACAGCATGTTTCAAGCTCCTAGATCTTTCTTTTTGGCGTGGAAAAGTCTTTCTTAACTGTTTTGTGTTGCTCAAATACAAGTGCTAGGTATAGAAGCTTCAAAGTAAGAAAATCGAGCAGTTGGGCCAAGTTCCGTTGTGTTGGCACTTTAGAGATAGCTGGTAGCATTTTTCAGTAGATTAGAACATGGCCTTCAAATAATATGAACAGATTTCTCTAAATCTTACTTGATGAAGAGTTATACTTACTTGAATTTGTTGAGGTCACTCGTTTGTGCAGCGCTAGAGCAACAACTTGCTGGGTTATAGGTACTAAAGTACCTATACTATCTCAAATATACAAAGGCAGCAACTTTTTTTGTCAGCAAGTTTATCATATATTGCTGATTAGTAAAGAGAAAGTGAAGCTTCTTTCTCACATGGTCTTCTTGCTGCCAATCATGCCAGTATGATGGAATGCCACACCTTTCAATCTACATGCATGGGAGGGGCTGGAGCTGCTTGCATGTATGTGCTGCAGTGCTGCTACTTCTGCAGGTATTCAAGAGCAAGTGCAACTGCAGGAAGCTAGTGTTGAGCAGACTCTCTTCATGCTGATAATCAAAC